AGAGCCAGGCTGAGTAGAGCCAGGCTGAGTAGAGCCAGGCTGAGTAGGGGCAGTGCAAAAGGGGCATTAGACTGCTGGAGGACAAACTGACCACACTTTTCACTCTGCTACTGTCTTTACTTACTCTGCTCAACCTGTTTTGTAGTTGTAATTATTTTTTCTATCCTTAACATGTTTTTGTCTTTCAGGTACACCTGGACCTATATCTGGACCTGGACCTATATCTGGACCTGGACCTATATCTGGACCTGGAACTATACCTGGACCTGGACCTAAATCTGGACCTGGACCTATACCTGGACCTGCCATTCTGTGTTTGTCTGTCTCTCCTTCCTGTCCTCTCAACCAGCCGGTCAAAGCAGATGGTCTCTTGTCCTGAGCTGGTTCTGCTGGAGGTTTTTTCCTGTTAAAGGGAGTTTTTCTTTCCACTGTCTCCACTGTGCTTGCTCAGGATGGGAGACTGCAACGAAGCCAAGATTCAACTTGTCTGCTGGATTCCTTAGATAGAGAACTTTACTAACTGGCTTTTATGTCCTTGACCTCTCTAAGTGTCTTTAAGAATCTGTTGGACTCCTGGCAGGGACCAATGCAGACATGTTCCTGTTTTTAATTTTCTACATTCGCCTTAGAATCTAGCTGGTTTTTTTTTGTTACCTTTTTCTTTTAGCCATTCTGCTTGTAAAAAAAAAACCCCTGCAGTATGACTTTTTATAACTGTTTATTGTTGTTGCTGTTGTCCATTGTTTCATCTTTCTTTGTTAAATCAGGTCTCTCTTGTAAATGAGTCCTCGAGGCTCAATGGGATTTACCGTCTAAATAAAGGTTGAATGAATGTGAATGTTCCTGTAAAGTCCCTGAGACAACTTTGTTGTGATTTGGCGTTTTACAAATAAACTGAATTGAATTGAACCAGTGTCTCTGTCTTTGAGTGTTTCTGTCCACCAGTGTCCCTGTCCAGTAGTGTATGTGTTTACCAGTGTCTCTGTCCAGTGTCCCTGTCCAACAAGTGTCCCTGTTCTCAAGTGTTTCTGTCCACCAGTGTCCCTGTCCACCAATGTCCCTTTACACTTGTCTCTGTCCACCAGTGTCCCTGTCCACAAGTCTCCCTGACCACCACTGTCCCTGTCCACATCTGTCCCTGTACACACGAAAAATGATCCAAAACCTTCAACCTGGACTGGAACCTGCAGCTGTTTACATGGACAAGACAAATGTCTTCTATGTCGTCAGACAAGACAAAGATGGAACTGTTTCGATAAAGAGACAAAAAGGATGTTTTCAAAATGAGACTTTCAACCTCAGAACACTGAACCAGCTGTCAGGCATGGTGGTGGTACCTTCATGCTGTGGTAAGAAAAGGAGGACTACCTCAAAGGACCAACTGTTCACATCTGGGTCCAACAGGACCAGAACCAGCTTCTGATTAGACGGATCATCAGAACCGGCCTCTGATTGGATGGACCAACAGAACCAGCCATTGTGGTGTTCATGAAGAGTGGATTAAAACTGATTGGTTCCTGATGAGCTCACCTGTCCAGGGAGAAGGCGGAGCTTCGGCTGTTCTTGGAATAACGAACCCGAGGCTTTGGGATTGGTGGAGATGAAGGAGGAGGCGGAGTCATCTGCAGAGGGAGAAGAATTATTAATCAAAGGTAAATGTGGTTTGACCCTGCAGAAAGATGAGTTACTATGAAGGAAGAAAATCAGGACTTGATTAAGACAGAGAGTATAAAGCTAAATTCAGGAGGCGTGGCCTCCATATGATGCTGACCAATCAGATGGATGAATACTTGATCACCTGATCAATAAACGCCTGAACCTTCTGATGATCTGAGTTACAGTTTCAGTCACATGGTCAACCCAAATGGACTGGTCAGCTGACATGAGGATAATTTTTCTCTGAACTGGAACCTGAGGCCTACCAGACACTGACTCTGATCTCCAAGATCCAGATCCAGTTGTCAGTAAAACCAGGTGATCCTGATCAAACTGACTGATATAAGGTCTTTACTCTGACAAAACCAGAACCAGAACCATGACATTTGAACTTCCCAACCATCTGGATCCACCTGAACCAGGCCCTGTTAGTTCATCTCAACTGACCCAAAAAGATCTTTACTCCAGAACTGAGTCAAGGATTATTCAGATCAGGGTCCAACAGAACCATTCAGAACCTTTCGAAGTAGACCAGACTGAATCTTAGAGTGTCTGAATATTTTTAAATAAATAAAATCTCATCTAAATGCTAAAATAAAGTTTGTAATCAAACCAACAAGAAGAGTTCATTACAAACATTTAAAACATCTAAAACATCCATCGTCAGATTTATGTTTCCATAAAAACTGAATCTGTAAAAACAAACAAAACATGATGAGTTGTTTAGACGAAAACAGCTAAACATTCCTGTGAATATTATTTATAATGATCCCGTTTACAATCAGTAAACATAAATATTTATTGACAGACCAAAACAGAACCCGGCTGTTAACAGAACTTTATGGATCCTTTAGAGGGAAGTTTACTTGACCCAGAACACAGACCAGGTTTAGTTTTCCTACCTTTCTTCAGCTCCTCAGGATCAGAACAGACAGCTCAGAAGCTGCTGGTTTCCTGTTTACACCTGTGAGTTCACCTGTCTCACCTGTTAGCTCCTCCCTGTTTCACTGCACTCACCAAGATCCTCTGTTGGCTCTGGTTTCTGTCTCTGAACTCTGAGAGTTCTGGTCTGTCTGGTTCTGACCAACAAATGAAGACCTGCTCAGAGCCAACTAAACGAAAAACAGGTCCGTCAGAACAGTTTCACCCGTTAGACCTGCTGCAGGTAATAGGGTGTGCCCATGCATTGAGTCACACTGGTGTGTTTGTGTGTTGTGTGTGTGTGTGTGTTCTACTGGGTATATAACAGAACGTTAATGCTCACCCGAGTCAAAAACATCAATCCATGGTTTAAAGGTTTTCTCAAAAGTGTTCTGTGATGTTGTGCTACAGCTGTCTGAAAATGAACTGCTTCCATTCTGACAGCTTGTTTGTATCAGAGTGAGTGGTCTTCTCTTTAAAGGATCTTTGTTAAACGGCTTGTGTTATGACATCCTGTTTGTGTTAGAGTGAGTGGTCGTCATTTTAAAAGGATCTTTGTGAAACTGATAGACATCCTATCTCTAAAAAAGTTAAATCTGGTCCTCTGGACATTCAAAAAACAAAACAAAACAAAAACCAACAAAAAATGTAGAAACATTTCGTCTTCCATCCGAAAGACTTCTTCAGTCTGAGGTGCTGTATTCAGCTCAGTCTCTTAAATAGCACCTTCTCAGAGTGGATCAACCAGTTTGTTGCTGACAACCAGAACCAGCTGATCACATGCTCAAGAAGGACCATCAGCCTAACAATGGATCATTAGCACACTGATGGCTGTTTACTGTTCACAGAGGGCTGAGTGATACTAGCAATCACAGCATTGTAAGAGGGGGACAGTTGAACATGGAGGCCTCCGCCCCTGTTTAACGATGGACGGTTTCTTTTCACAAAGATGGCCTCCTTTACTCCTCTCTCAAACCATCGTTCTTCTCTATCCAGGATGTGAACATCTTCATCCCTGAAAGAGTGACCTCTGACCTGGAGATGAGTGTAGACCTCAGAGTCCTGGCCTGATGATGTTGATCTTCTGTGCTAGTCCATCCTTTTGGCCAGTGGCTGTTTAGTTTCCCCGATGTAAGACTGATCACGCTCCTGACACTGAACAACATACACAACATTGCTCTGTTTGTGCTGGGGGACTGGATCTTTGGGATGAACCAGTCTTTGCCGTAATGTATTTTGGGGTTTAAAAGCCACTGGGACGTTATGTTTAGAAAATAAACGTCTCAGTTTCTCTGATACTCCCTCAACATACGGAACAGACCCTTTTCACATGACGTCAGACAACGTAAGTTCTGACTCGATGTTGATCAGTACTTCCGGGTCTATTCTCCCTCGGGAGACCTGTCTGGAAACTTCACAGAATTTCATTCATTCAACCTTTATGTATAGAAGTTAAATTACAAGATATAGCGTAAGGTAAGGTTAATAAAACAGCATTTAAGTGTTAGTTAGCTGTGGTAACGTTATCCATCATGATCAATTTACCATTCTATAACTGTGTAAGGAAACAGCCTCTGATTGTAAAGTAAGCTAGCAGCTAACAGGTAGCTAAACTCTACACTGCTGCAGCCTGTCAGTGCTGTAACATTAAAATGTTTAACTTTATCTATTAATGTAAAATCTCTGACATCTTCCAACACTGTTGTTTAGATTAGCATTTTAAATGTTGAATTTAAAACAATATGTCAAACCATTTCCATGTTCTGATGATTAATAATTTATCTTTGTCATGAACCAGAGGCCGGATCGCAAACAACAACAACAACCACTGA